GCATGCTATGCTCGTGGAGCGACATGCCAGCAAGATTCCGCTGCAACTGAATATGCCATCGAAGCCGTTGAAACACCAAGTGTAGTGGCTCGGGCGTCTCCAGTGAGCAAAAACGTCCATAGCAATTATACTGAGGTGAGACCTGGGCGTCAAGGTGCCCGAGCCTTTCTTCGGCTCTCGGAGTGCCTTCGATGAGTTGTACGTCGTGATTGCCACAAACCACTGGAGCAGCTCCGCTTCCCAACCTTTGCTGGGGTATATGTGCGGACGAGTCCGCAAAGTCACTTAGAAATCGAGCATCTACTCTGACGGCAGTTCCCAGCCCACTCAGTCCAAGACTGGGAACCCGTAAAGCGTGGGCCATAGTCTCCGCTGAGGTCTCAGCCCCCGACGCTGGCTGAGACCCTTCCCATGCGCTCAGGGGCGCTGGGACGCGCCTTGTTCCTCCCCGCGGTGATCAGGAGGAACGTCCACGTGTTGCTGATGAAGTGAATCAGTGGGTACTCGAGAACGATGTATGTCGTCAACTCCAATTTGCTCGGTAACCTGGCTTGACGACCATTCGCCACTCGTAGTAGCGACCCCACCTCTCGTCTTCTCATCACGTGTGCGACTATCTTCAGTAAGAGGCGGAACACGCGGGTACAAGAATTGTCTCCCATACTTCCGAGCTGGCCTTTTGTGCACCGTGCTCCTGTCAGTGTCCTCTTCTCCTGAACGAAATGCCTGCTGCGCCGCGTCGGAAGGTACCTCATCATCATCATCTGCAACATCCCGACTTTCACAGTCGCGATGATCATCTCCGTGGCCGACCTCATCCGCTAGTTGTTGTACGACCTCGAGTCCGTACTTGACTAACTCCTCCTGGTATTGTTCCTCTTGTTCTTCTCTGGCTACCTTTCTGTCATGCATCAGAAGGCTGATTTCCTCCTCTTGAATGGCCTCAAGTTCAGCTGCTACTTCCCGATCATACCTTTGGGCTGCGTCAATGATGTCTTCTGCCGAAACTGCATCTGCGGAGTCCATCGTAGTGGAGTACCGATTTGGAGGCACGTCACGAGAAACTTCAGCTGATAGTTCAGGTACCGCCGTAGGTGAAGAATGCACAGAGTCAACTTGAACTTCTTGTCGGTGTTCAGCTCGTTGCTGTGCCTCACGTTGCTCTGCCTCCTTGTATTCTGCATTTCGAATCGCTGATACCCGTACCTCTTCGAATGCATAGACCTGCCGTTCTGCACGTAGCCATTCTTGAAAGTCAGCTTCATCCTGCTGTCGAGCAGCGTCCTCGTCAGCAAGCGCAGCATCAACTGCCCTGGTCATGGTAGAGGGTGGTGAGGAGTAAATTGAAGAACCTATTGGCGAGCCCGCCATATACCTCTGGCACTCGAAGTCCATGTACATCTCGCTGTCGCGCTCAGCCTGCCTCTTCTGCACGAGCAGTTCGGCTTCGAACTTCTCCGTCTCATTCTCTACGCTGCTGCCAAACTGAACTCTGGATACTCCTGTCTTACCATATGGATTCGTTCGATTCGATCGCGGGGTATTTCCTTTTCCTTTTTGAGCACGAAGCCGTCCGATCTCACCTTCATAATGCTGCGTACGAGCCTCTGCTGATCGGACTGCCTCAACGAGCTGCTGTTGTCGTACTTCATCTTGTTGCCGCTGTTCCGCTAGTTCAAGCCAAACCTTCTGGTACCGCTCGTCATTCTCGGCCTTCATCTCCTGCACCTCTCTGAGTTCACAAGCCACTCTTGCCAGCTGACTTCGCTTCCATTGCTCCCTGTCCTCGGTATCTTTCTGATGCTTGGCTTTGTCCATCTCGATGAATGCCTGGCGCTGTTCGTCAACCTCCTCTGAACGACGCTGGAGCTGCTGCATGATCGTCGTGATCTTGGCCATCTCCTCCTGCCCGAAAAGCTGCACTTCCATTTCACGGCTTGCAAGTTGCTGCCTCTGATGCTCAAGTTCCTGTTGCTCTCCGCTGTGATCTCGACGACCACACTCGATCTGGACCTGCAACTGCCGGTTCTGCTGCTGTAACATTAGGTTGTGCTGATGAGCTGCTGCCGCCGCTCTCTGCTGCTCCAGCCATTCGTTGTGTCTGGCAGCCTTACATTCGCTCTCGTAAACCTTGGCCTGCTCCTTCGTGAGTAGTTCAGTCCTTGGCACTGACTTAGCTACCGATGTTGCCGCCACTGAGCTGCTGCTGTCAACCGTCATGTGGCTATCAGCTTCCCTGCGGGGTGGCTGCGGCGTCACCTGGGATGGCGGCATCTGCGGAGCTGCTGTCGTCGGCGCCTGTGTAGCTGGGGTCTGTATCTGCTCTGGTATTGACATAAACACAGGAGTATCTTGCCGACCTTGTACGAACTCTTTGTGACGCATCTGTAAGCCAACTAAAAGCGGCTGCGGCGTCTGCTGTGCACTGGATGAGGGTATCGATACATATGGCAAGAACGCAGATCTGTCTGACGAACTCCCTGGGATACTTCCTGCTGGTATACGTGCGCTGGTGCCACCGTATGGATCCGTTCTGGCTGGCGAAGCTGAAGGCCGACGAGCATCATCCTGCGCTGGATTCTGCACTCCAAGCTGCTGTACTGTGCCTAGACCTCTGGAGACCTGCCCCTGCGGCTGTCTCAGAGAGGCCTGACAACGCAAATGTTTGCCGTCCACGATTGGCGTTGGGTCACGTCTCGAAGAAAGTGGCGGCGGTGGTGGCGGAGGTGGTGGTGGTGGAGGTTGCTCTTCATCACCTGCTCGAAGATCCTTCTGAAGCGCCACCCTCCTGTCGTAACCAATATCCACCTCCGTACTTGATAGTTCTGTTGTGTCTGCCTCTCCTTCGGCTGCCTCTCGAAATAAATCATGGTAGTAGTCCAACAACGTCTCTTCATAGAGAGCCTCCTGTTTCAGTGTAGCTATCTTACCCTCGATCTTATGCAGCTTCTCCTCCGTTTTCGTAATGTTATCCTTTGCTTCACGACGTTGGATGGAACAAGGTTTAAGTTGCCACATCATCCACTTCATGACGCTCAACTCCTTCTCTTGAGTAATCACACATGTTCCCAAACGCCGCCCATGTACAATGACTTCTGCCGTTCTGTGCATCCTCTCCTCCAAAGACTTCCGATACTTAGCTATGTCGGACTTCGGCGGTGGACTGTACATGGAGTGATTCAAGGCGTACTTGCTCGTGCTCATCATCGTCTCCTCGAGAACTTTGGCAATCTCATTCCTGAAAGTGGCGCTATCTCGATCACGTCGACGTTGATCTGCTTGCTTCTGCATTTGCTTCCTCCAAGTATTGTTGCAACTCTTCTTCGCGCATTGCCATGAAGCTGGTTCATTGCTCTGGCCACAATCAATACACGTCCATTTGCCTGGCTTCGCCATGCTGGAATGATGCGCCGCCAAGACCTTCTGCGCCTTCGTGACTCTGAGGAGTATCCTGGCCTGGGCCCGTTGTCGCCGCCGACGACGATGTGCGGCGCCCTCAGGGCGCTTGGCCGTCTGGCCTGCTCCTGGCGGGCGGCCCACCGCGCGCGACCTCGCGCGCAGCCTGGCCCGCCGCGGGCTGCCGCCAGGGGCTGCCGCCGCTGCGAGGGATGTGGGGGGTCCTCCCCCTCGCTGCAGCCCCTATCGCGGCCGCCGCGCTGCCGCCCGCCCACGCGTGGGGCGGCGTCCGCCCCACCCCGAGTGGGCAAACGGCTCCTCCTCCTCCTCCTCCTCCTCCTCCTCCTCCTCCTCCTCCTCCTCCTCCTCCCTCCTCCTCCTCCTCCTCCTCCTCCTCCTCCTCCTCCTCCTCCTCCTCCTCCTCCTCCTCCTCCTCCTCCCCTCTCTCCTCCTCCTCCTCCTCCTCCTCCTCCTCCTCCTCCTCCTCCCTTTCCTCCTCCGCCTCCTCCTCCTCCTCCTCCTCCTCCTCCTCCTCGTCCTCCTCCTCTAGCGGTGCGACCGCTACTCAGATAGCAACCTCAAGGGTCTCAAAGGTGAGTGCAAGGGAAGCTTCCAAATCAGGTTTTCCCAGAATGAGTGGTCCCTTTTGTCATGCGGCTCATCATCACCATCATCACCATCATCACCATCATCATCATCATCATCATCATCATCAACAACAAATACATCATGATCATCAAAATCAGCATCATCGTCATCATCAAAAGAATCAGCATCAACATCAGCATCCTCATCATCATCATCAGTATCATCATCACCGTCAGCATCAGCATCATCAGCAACATCATGCACAAGCGGCATCAGCATCATCAGCATCATCATCACCAACATCAGCAGCATCGTCATCATCAGCATCAACGTCAACATCATCATCATAATCATCGTCAGCATCCTCATCATCAGTATCATCATCATAATCACCATCATCAGCAGCAGCATCATCATGAGCAGCATCATCATCATCGTGCCCTCCCTATCCCTCCCTCCCTTCGGCCAGCTCTTCCCTCCAGGCCCCTGGCTTCAGGACGATGACGTGAACCCCTCGAGGCCACTACCAGGGCATTCAAGAGATCCGCGGTAGACCGTTCAAGGCCTCCCCCGCTCACAGCAGAGGAGCGGTGCACTTGGGCGCAAGAGCTGGGGCTGGGGAGCACTCATCTCAGCGGGCGCGCGAAAGCTATGTACCGTGCTGACGCCGAAGGAGAACAAGTGACGCCACGCACGAGTGTACAGAAATGTGTTTGCACGATCATGCGCGCAAGACGCCGCACAGGGGTACAAGGCGCCAGCACGCGTGCGTATCAGAAGCCGACGCAAGGCACAGCACGCCACCACTGGCCCACACTCTTTCCGACATCTGGCGTCGTCTCTGAGGCTAGAAGACTGCAGCGAGGGCTGTCGACCCCACTTTGGCTCGGGGCCCCTGGAGCTGAATCGATCCGCGAGGATCCCGGGGTCCGAAACCGAGCGAACGGGCCGGCTGCGATGTTCCCCACGACGCAAAGATACCAGTGCAACAATGTGCTCCCGCCGCGCGCTGGCGCCTGGTCCAGCCCGGCACCGGCGACCTGCAGGGCGCCGTCGGTTGTGTTGGCGCGGCGGCCGCTGCGCTTGAGCATCTCGCTCTGAATGCCGCTGGCGCCGCCGCTCCCTCGGTGGCGGTCCAGAGAACGCGGGAAAATCAGGCCGGGGATGGCGTCTCCTCTCCTCTTCTACCCCCTCCTCCTCGATGTGCTGCCAACTTAACCTGCAAGGTGAGCCTTTTCAAATTTGCTTGTGCACTTCAGCTTTGGTTTTGGCTTCACCTGTGGGTGCACCGCGAAGCGTGTTCGGGCTAGCTCACCCGAGCCGGCTTTCCGCTCACGCGGGTCCTTCCCCATCGTCATCACTGTGCGGGGCTGCTGCGCACAACCATTTCTACTTTCTACCAACGGGGGAAGGCGACATGGGCGCCTGAGCTTGTAGCCTAGACAACTGCAACGCCAGCAATGACAATCCTGCCCGACAGGCCCAGCCTTGCATCGTGCAGCCAAGCCTCCCCTGCGAGGCAGGGCAGCGAAGCACCGGCAACCTCTCGCAGAGCGTGCACTTCGAGCCTCTCCTCCAGCAGCAGCCGCTGCTTGAGCAGGGGAGCTCCAGGCGTCGGCGCCTCTGCCCACTCCCCAGGCAGCGCTTGCACCTCTGGGCTCCTCCTCCCTCTTCGACCATCTGGCCATCGCTCGGACGTCCATTCCCTGTGTTTTTTGTTCGGTTTCGTGCGTGGTTTTTTCGCCAAGTGATCAAGGCTGCTCCTCGATGGTCCTCGCCGAAGGAAAAATGCACACGTCCGAGCGATGCCAAGCCAAGTGTTTGCACTCAGGGGTTCTGCCCTGTGTAGCCTCAGTGACTGGGCGTGTTCGGCGCGGCCTCGCCCGGTGCCCGCCCGGTTGGCGGCCGCCCGTGGGCGCCGCATGGGCGCCACCGTGCGCTGGGGGGGTCCGCCAGGATGTCGCACGGTGCCGGCCCATGGCCGCCAGTGGACGCCTCGTGGGCGCCTCGGGGGGGGTGGGCGCACAATCTTTCGGCGACTTCCCTCGGAGGCGCTCGCAGGTTTCGGGCGATCTGGTAGGGCTGCTGCTCCTCCTTCCTCCTCCTGCCGCGGCTCCTCGCCCTGCATGCCCTCGTCATCCTCCTGCCCCATCCTCCTGCCCCCTCCGATGGGCGTCTGCTGGGGTGTCGCCAAGCGCCCGCCCACGGCCGCGCGTGGGCGCCTCGTGGGCGCCCGCAGAGGCTAGACCACGTACCACGCAGACTGCACCGCACGGGTCCCCCGTTCAGAAGAAGTACGGGACGTGAAAACGACCACAGCCGCTGCTTTTCTTTTGTTGCCGCCTCCCAGCCAGCAGAAACAAAGCAGTGGTTGTGGACATGTTCGTTAAGCTCGGCATGAGGGAAATGACCACAACCACTGCTTCTTTTTCGGCCGGCTGAAGGCGACGCAAACAAGAAGCAGTGGCTGTGGTCATTTTCCCGTCCCACAAGAAGATAGCCTGCGCACGCGCTCGCTTATCTAAAAGATGGTATTGCAAGAGGCCTCTTGCAACAAAAGAGCAAGCGCACGGGTCGAAACCACACACGTCAGGGCTGCAAGAGCGCTGACGCAAAACAAAAAGCCGGGGCTCTCCACGGCAAGTCATGCAGACTTCCTGCCCGCGCGCCCTTGCTGAAATCGCATGAAAACGAAACGATTCTTCACGCTTCGCGGGGTGCACGTCTGGAGCACGTTGAAACTGGGCCTTGGATGGTTTGCCCTGCTCGTCTGCCGAAAAGTTCTGCCGCGTCGTTTTGCCCGCCCCAGGACACTGGCAGCGCCACAGGGAGGGGATGCGCCTCCCCCCCGTTTTAGCGCGGGGACGAGCGTGCGAATGTCCACGAGGGCAATGGGCATTCACCGCGTGTGAGCACAAGGCAACGCCAAGCCCAAATTCTGATTGGCATAGCAGCGCCGCGCCATGCGTATACGGTTTCGCGGGCCTCTTACTGGCTTGGGGGGCCGTTCTGGGGCTTCTTCAAGGCATCTTGGAAGCTTCTTGGGGGGCCCTGGACGCCTCGTGGGGGCCCTTTGGGGGCCTCTTCGGGCCTCTTGGGGGCCTTTGGGGCCTTCTTGGGCCGCTTTTGCGCCGTCTGGCCACTTCGGAAGCCGTTTTGGGGGCATCTCGGGGCCGCCTTGTGGCTCTCTTGGGGTCCTCTTCGGCCGTCTTGGGGGCACATCTTGGGGCCCTCATGAACCCTTTGGGGGCCCTCTTGGGGGCCTCTGGGGCCGTCTCGGGCCGATCTTGGAGGCTGATTGGGCCCTCATGGGCCATCGAGATTTAAAAAGGCGAAAACGCGAAAAGTGCAAAACCTGTAGGGGGTTCAGTGTGTTTGGCCTCTGGAGGTGCTGTTGGGGGCCTCCTAGTGACCTTCCAGGGCCGTCTTGGGAGCCTCTTGGGCCCCCTTCTGGGGCCATCTTGGGCCGTCCTGGACCGCCGGGAAGCTGCATTGAGCCGTCTTGAGGCCCTCTTGAACCCCCAAGAGGCCCCAGAGGCAATCATTGATGTTCCATACGTTTTGGTACTCGTGTGGTTCTGGGAAAGGGGAATGCCACGTTGGGCCGCGGATGTGGCACGACACCAGGGTGGGGTTAGGGGAGGCATAATACTGCGAGAGAATACAGTTGCAGCAATTATGTGATATCAGATAGATGAGACACGCTGCGTTGGGGCGGTCGCCGGAAAACGCTGCCGCTCTGCACGTCACCCCCAGACGTGGGCTTCAGCACCTCACCACGCCGCTCACTTGCGTTAATGTAACACGCGTCCAGTGCATCACCCCGTGTCAAACAAGACCACGAGGGCCACACGCGCGCGGCCACGCGAGCCTCTCGAGATGGATCCAGAACCAATGGCTTTGGGCGCCATGCTGAATCGAGTTCTTCCTAAGCATATGAGAACCAACATATGTCCAACATATGTGACAGGTCTATTGAATTTCTGCGCGCGCACTTCCCACCATCACCCTCACCAGCGCCATCGCATCACCGCCGTTATCGTCATCGCCAACCGCTGTCATTGCCGCAATGATCCGCAGATCACGCTCATCATCGACACATGGACATCATCATCATCATCATCATCAGCATCATCATCATCATCGTCATCACCATCATCACCATCACCATCATCGTCATCATCATCATCATCATCATTGTCACCATCGTCGTCAGCAACGGCACCGTCATTGTCCTTACCGTCGACATCGCCATCATCGCCACAACGACCGCTACCATCATTATCATTACCGCGGTTGCCGACGTCATCATGTTACTGCGCCCGCCCGGGTCACCGTCCTGCACGGAAGTGCCCGCGCGCCAGCGCGGCCTGTGAGGCGCGTTGGGAAACTCCGATCCGCAAGCGCCATCGCGGCCGCATCAGTTGTGCCAAACCCGCTAGACGCCCTGAGCGCGAGCGTTCGCACACCAACGCAGCCGCAGACATGCGCTAGCGAGGGCAAACTGGCAACCGCAATCGTGGCCGCATGGGCTTGACCTAGCTACAGATGGGAAGCTGTGGTGATTGCGCGAACAGTGGAGTTGACGGCTTCAAGTTCTGCAGGGTGGACTGCATCACACAGGTTGAACCACATAACCTGCACCACAGCATTTCCACATGGATTGCATCACATAGCGCGCACCACTTAACTTGCACAACCAAATATTGTACTTCACAAGTGTTCATCACATAGCTTGCACATCATAGATGCATGAATTATGATTCCATACATTCATATAACACGTGCGTAAACGTGTTTGTAAATGTTTACACATATATATACATATATGCATACATACATACATACATACATACATACATACATACATACATGCATGCATGCATGCATACATGCATACATGCATACAGGCAGACATGCATACATATGTGTGTATGTATACCGCCCCACCTAGAATGCATCACGTAGATTACATCACATCGTTTGTATTGCTTTGCTTGTACCACGTAGCTTTCATCACATAACCACCGAAACAAACAAAACAAAAAACAAAAACAAAAACAAAAACAAACAACAAAAATCGCACAGCTCACGACACCTACACCGCGCGCCGAAGGCACTATATCCTGCTGTGGGGTCCAGGGTGGCGAACACTTCTGAGGACGACGTGCCAGATCCCCGCATTTTCGGCGGCAGGCGGCAGGCGGGCACGCCCAGCGCAGTGGCTGGGGTCGGCCGCCGGCGGCCGTAAAGTGGCTACAGTAGCCCGTAGACCACGAATTTAAAAAGAACAAGCATGCAGAGCACTTTTTGCCGTCGGCAGCGACGCAGACTTGGCTGCTGCAGCGATCGAGCTAGACGGGGGTACCGAAAAGCGAACTGGCCAGCATGCAAGAGTGGGAAGAGGGCAGAGCGGGCGGCCGCGGGGGGGGGGGGACGCATGCAGCGCACAACGAGTAGGGAGGCCAGGCCTGCGAGCACTTCCGAGGACGACGTGCCAGATGTCCGCGATCTCGGCCGGTGCCCCGCCGTGGGGCACCCCGTGGGCGCCCCGTGCGCCGGCTGGGATTTTCCTATGCTTCTTCGGCGGGTGCCACGCCGTGGGCGCAGGCAGGGATTCTCCTCTGTGTCTTCGGCTGGTGCCGGGCCACGGGCGCCTCGTGGGGCGCCCTCCAAGCGCTGTGACCTGGATTGCTGGGATGTCGGCTGCTGTCCAGCCGTGGGCACTGCGCGCGCGGCTTGGATATGCGAAACCGAGCAGCATTGCAATACATATATATACATATATGTATATACATATATATATATATATATATATATATATATACATATATACATACATACATGCATACATACATACATACATACATACACACATACATACGTACATACAAACAAACAAACAAACATACAGACATACATATACACACATTGATACACACAAACATACATACATCTATAAACTACGCAAGACCATATAGCATGTGCGAAACCACATAATACTGTTATGTATGCAGAAACATGCAAACATACATACATACACAAATACATACATACATACATACAGACATACAGACGTGCAGACAGACAGACCGAAAGGTAGAAAAAAATATAAATAACTGA